AAAAAGTTCTTTTTTCGTCGGAAAATTTTTTTTTCGGATAATATTGTCTTTAATATATATTATTCATAAAAGCAATTAAAATTTTCTCTAATTAAATAATGTCAGTTTTTATTGCGTTCTTTCTTTTTCGATACAGAACTGATTTTCAGTAAGACCAGGTTCGATTTTGAAAAAAAAAAATTTGCTAATTAAATTCTTCAAAGAATTCTGATTTTAACTAATATAGTCACTAAAAATGATCTCGTTCAATTTCTCAAGTTTTTATAAAATTAAGTAAGAAGCTGAAATACATGTTAAAAATAAATATTTTTACGAAGATTTTCTAATAAAAAATTAAAAAAAAAAATGAATGTTATTCAATTATAAGTTCATTAAAATTTGACAATTATTTTATTTTTACAAGAATTTTCAAATGAATGTGTCTCTCACGGCAAAAAGAGGCCAAAATTTGTTATGCTAAAAGTTAGTACACCTCTGACACAAGAAAAATAAGTTTTTTTTAATGAAAATGTTGAATGTTCTAAAAAGGAGTAAAAAAAAAAAATTAATTAAATAATCAAGAAATACTTTGATCCTTCCACTTAATAATAATACAACGATTTTGACGATAAAACTTTTCATTACGTTTGACGCTTGTTTTCATCATGATATGCTGATTTTTTTTTTTTAGCATTTTCACGGAGGTACCTACAATTAAGTAATTCATCCAATTTGATAATTGTGACTTTTACCCGTCCTTCACCGGGAATCTGCTAATGTCGGATATAAATCTAGCAAAAATAAAATAAAATAAAATAAAATAAATAAATAAATAAATAACTGTCCTATTAGCTATCGCAAAATATAATAAAGCAGCCAAAAAAAAAAAAAAAAAAACCTATATTACTCCATGACCAAAAGAAGTAACCCAGAATTTAATATTGCTATGGGAGCACATGATTCAGAGGAGGCATGCGAAATTGTTGGAATTATATTATTGTGGAGACTTAGATTTTCGACATCAATCACACCGGATTTTTATAGAGATGATGGTGTAATTAAACGTTGTAAAACTAGCCCAAGAAATATAGACTGATTCAGAAAGGAACTGATAAAATTTCTTAAAGATCACAAACTAAATATTACACCATTATCACACCAATGCTATAGTGATCAATTTTCTCGACGTGACTTTAGACCTGAATATACAAAAGATCTACATAATCAAACTGCAACTCTTCTGGACAGTCTCCTTGTTTAAGTTGGTGAATGCTGCCATAATCCTTGCCTTTAGTTCATCTTTGTTGTTACAAGGAGTTTTGTTGGTCTCTCGCCCCATACATATTAATCAAGGGGTTGTCGTTTGCAGAGTTAGGTGGCCAGATGTAAGGGATGATGTGGTAGCAGAAATTTTCTGAAAGCCATGACTGGGTTCTCCTGCAATAAACCCGACTTTTGTCACATCATGTCTTAGTGGGGAGACGCGATAAATAATATTAAGAACATCGGACTATATAGAGATGATGGCATTATTTTCCTCCGTAAAACTCGTCCGTGAAATATAAACAGATTGAGAAAGGAACTGACTAAATTTTTCAAAGATCACGAGCTAAATATCACAACTACTACCAATGCTAAAGTGATCAACTTTCTCGCTGTGACCTTAGACTTGAATAATGGTTATTACAAACCATATATCAAAGATCTGTATAAAGAATCAAACCACCACCACAAAATTCTAGATAATTTACATAAATCAGTCCAAGTTAGATTATCCACCAACCCCATGTCACTTTCATAGGTATGGCGGTCACACGTGTCTTCCAAAAACCACCACCGATGTACTAAGTTTTCTCTTTGGTTGACTTGACATTGTAACAATGCTTACACTTACTTACCCTAACATCTGAACTAATAAAAAGAGAACGGGCATCCCGTTAACCATAACTTCCTAGTGATAACGTACGTACAAACCTTCCTTTGGTTGTTCCAACTCTGCGTAAGGCTAACTTGAGGTCGACCATTAATACAATGTTTTTACTTAACATAACTCCTGGATCAAAAAGAAAACTGGCATACACAAGAGATATTAAAAACTTTGTTCCACTAAAGTCACTATAAAAAAAAAGAGAATAAACTCAATGTTGTTGTATACTTCTTCTGAATTGTTTAAATACGAACACGCATCCTCATAAAATACTCACAAACTTTTAATCTCCTTACGTCTCAGTCACTGTTATAAATGGTAGGAGGAGGTAGGTATTGTATATGTCTATGCGAGACTGTGTGAGTCACGCATAAGTATCGTGTGTTACAATGACCGCAGCATCGGAAAATTGATAAAATTCATCGATTCTGATCCGATTCGACTGTATGTTTGCTAGACGAAGAAATCCGTCTCGAGAATGCCACTTCGTTTCTGATTAGTCCACGAGCCGCAAACTCATATCCTGGTTGAGAACAGATTTCGTGTCCTATAGGATCGGTAAACTATAATATTCGTATCCTGGTCGGGGCGGTTTTTCATTGGTTGGTTGAAATATGCCTTCATCATATAGCGATTCTGAATATACAAGGTTAGGCAAAGATCGTGGACCATAGAGGTCAATGGATAGATCGAAGGTGTCCTGTTGATAGGCCAGCGACGTCACCAGACCTCACACCCTTGATTTTTTTTCTGTGTGGCCATTTGAAATCGGTTGTTTATCAGCTGCGTCCAAGAAATATTGAGGAACTTAAAGAATTGAATATGAATGCAGCAAAATGACAGAGGAAACTCTGATGTATCAATGAATCACGAAGGCACAGAATTGAAATGTGCCTTCAGTTTTACTCCAGTACTAAAATATTTATTGCCCAGTGTTATTTGTTAGCGAATGAGCAAATGAATAAAATACTTTATTAAAATTACCAGAAAAAAAAATGATAATTTTTATGCCGGTCTTTATTTGTAATCTTGGACAATTAACACTGTAAAAATGCTTACGAATCATTCACTTCTCTTTGGAATATCTTCAGGGCATAATTAGTATTTTCTGACTACTTCCCAGACATCTAAAGCGAATGAGAAGTCTTCAAAGATATGTTATTAAAAATAAGTAATGTTTTGTTTTTTGTTTTTTTTTTTGTATTTTTTTTAATTTTTTAGATCCAAAGACGTATTGCGATGGCCAAAGATGCATTCCAAAAGCTAAGCAGAGTATTAAGAGACAGAAAAAACTTCATTAGAAACGAAGAAAAAGTTACTGAACTGTTACGTGATAAGCAATAATAACAAAATTGCAATATGAGCTCTTGTAAAAAAAAAATTAAAAAAAAAAAAAAAATTGAAACTTAAAAAGAGAAGTAAAAAAAAATCCAAACCCTGAAAAAGACAAAGCAAAACCCAATTAATGCTGGACAACCGCCTCAAAGATGAAGAAGAGACTTGAAGTAACAGAAACAAAGAAAACGTGAGGTCTTTCCTCCTATATGGGAGTGAATGCTAGACAATCTTCTCACAGATGAAGAGGAGACTTCAAGCAACAGAAATGTAGTTATACAGAAAGATGCTGAGGATACCATAGACCGAACATGTAAGGAACATCAAGGTTTTAGAGAAAATTGAAGCAAAAAGGAAACATACTTAACATCAAGAAGAGCCAGTTGAAATTTCTGGGGCACGAAACGAGGAAGAAGGGCTTGGAAAATCAGATCCTCACAGGACGGATAGAGGGAAAAAGGGACAGAGGAAAGCAGCGCGTAACATACTTGATGGGCATGAGTAAACGAATGTTAGAACAGGGTTTGGGAGAAATAACAAAAAAGCAAAATTTATTAAGAACTACAAGGGTCAGGAAGATGTGGAGATTCATAATCGCCTACGTCCTGAAAGGACATGGCATATAAGAGAAGAAGATCAAGATATTGACATTCGAAGTTGTCTTGTAAATATTTAGACGTCTTTAAGCACAATTAAAATGTCTCCTTGCTCTTATTGACATTAACAAAAAGAATTGATATAACGAATTGATTCCAGACAAGCATGGGAAATTTTAGTAAGCCGACCACGCAAACGGACTAATTGGGCGCCAATACAAATTCATTTAAGAAGGCTGGAGTGTACAACAGCCGAAACATTGTGAATACGGCAATGGAAATGAGGATAACAGTCCGAATAATGTAAGTAATCATAATACCGCATCTCAGAGATCCAATCACCTGACGAAGGCCGGAGCGTACAACGACCGAAACGTTGTGAATATGGCAGTGAAGATGAGGATAACAGTCTGAATAATGTAAATAATGCAAGTAGTCATAATACATTATCTCAAAGATACAATCATCTGATGAAGGCCGGTGCGTACAACGACCGAAACGTTGCGAATATGGCAATGAAGATGAGGATAACAGTCTGAATAATGTAAATAATGCAAGTAATCATAATACCTCATCTCAGAGATATAGACAGTCATTATCTTTCATTCTTAATGTTTTTATCACGCAAAGGGAAAATAAAGATAAAAGATTTGCATAGATTTCTGTATTCGCTTTTTTTTATCAGCTTAAAAGGGGAAGTAAAAAAAAAAAGATAAACCTTTTCAATGACATTAATCCTTTTTCTATGTGCCGTATGCCCTCAGGTTATTGGCGATTATTACTCTCCACAATTTTCTGTCCTTTTCCAATCGGTGAGACCTTAACATATGCTCACTGTATATGCAAGAAGCACTATTTCTAACCCTAACCCACATAGATAGTGTTGTGTAGAAAGATGACCGACCTTCTCGACACTAATTCTTGAATTCCTACGTCCGCTATGAGCAGAACGTCTGCTCATAAGAATGGCCGTCTCAAAATGTGTCGAAAGGCGTACGCATTGCCGCACGGAACTAAGGTATTCTCCATTACTGTATTATTAATCCATGTCTCTCATGCGATTAAACCTTTTCTTCACTTGACCTTTTGTTCCAGTTCCGTTTTAACCACGTAGAAAGAGGGGAAAAGACCTACTTAATTTCAGTGAGAAAATGAATGTATGACTAAAAGAAAAGAAAAGAAAGGAAGAAAAGAAAAGAAGAAAAGAAAAGAAAAGAAGAAAAGAAAAGAAAAGAAGAAAAGAAAAGAAGAAAGGAAGAAAAGAAGAAAAAGAAAAAAGAATTGCTTAACTTCTCCTGCCAATACTTCATAAATAATGGACTATTCCGTTTTGAATGTAGAAAAACGCCAAAGACAAATCAGTGACGCTATTTGTTTTCGGTGAGAAAAGAAAGAAAATGTTTCCTTACAGTATTATTAACCAGAACTACGAAAGTTATACGAACTTTATAACACATATTAAAACACACCCAAACTTTATATTCTACCGAATAACAGACAATATATATAAACATATCGAAAGTGTCCACAATACAACACAAACCGTTTAAATCAAAAGTATTCGTTGGTTAGAAATTGACATCACAATGTGAAATATTTGACCAATCAGAGAAAACTAAAACCCTATTTTTCTCGAGCTTACTTTTGGGAATTTTTTTTTTCTTTAGGAAAACCTAGATTTCGATTTTCAGTCGCAAAGATTCAACTGACTCCAAGACGTTTAAACACACACACACAAAAGACGTGGCTACAATAGCTTTTTTTCTCCACGTCCGTCAACTCGTTCTAAAAGAAACACGTGTCGGCGACTACAAAGGAATCATCTTCAACAACAGACGGTCAGTGAATATTTACTGATGATCAAAGTTTAAACCACAGATTTTTCTGTGGATCAACTACACAAAAAACTTTAACTCAACTAAAGATTATTTTTACTTATTTTGACATTAATTCATCTACATATGTTTGTAATTATAAATGATTTATTTAACAGGCATGAGACCATGTTTTCTTTATTTTTATTTTATCTTTGTTTGCAATTCGGACGTTCGGATTTTTGATATATAAAAAAAAAAAAACTTGGACGACCGAATTTCGTACAAGTGCATCACATACTGATCGGTAAGGCGCCGTCAAAAATGGTCCACCTACCAAGTAACTGCTTACATATTAAACTATAAACGTCCAATATTTATCTCTCCTCGAACCAAGTAAATGCTTAGGGGATCAGGGATGGCCTGCCACTATTTATCACTAAAACAAGTAAATGCTGAAAGAATTGTGGTGAAAGCAACTATAGTTGTCTTACCCGCACACACACTTAAACTACTCTGCTATGAAATGTGATGGCCGAACCTCACATATGTGCAGTGGTTGAATTGCTTTGAATAAAGCTTTATTACAAGCTTAAAAGGTTCGCCTGTTTTCTTTAAAAGAATAAAATATAAACAGACAATATTTACCTCTCCAACCAAACAAAGGATTACAGACTCGCATATCAATGGCCAATATTTAGCTATCCTGGAATTAAATAAATACTTATCCCCTAATTAAATAAGTGCATATAGATTCAAATATAAGCGACAGATATTTAATTATTAGACTGAAATATAAACGACCGACCGGAGGTGGGAAAGCCTGATTGGGGGCCTCAGGCAGTGCTTTGTGACTCTGGCTATCTTAGCAGCATTTGCTTTTTTTCTTCGACTTACATTTACATATGTTACACAATATACTAAGCACAACTAACTATTAAAGGATAAAATATTTTCGCGGATTTTGACGTCATTCTTTTTATTCGTCCAAATCCGTGAATTCGTTTTGCTCATGCTCAGTCTCGAAAAAAAAAAAAAATACTCTATAAAATTCACTATTTTTTATCCATAATGTTGAATGTGTCAAAAAAAATTATTAAAGTTTTTAGCAAGAAAAATCTCAAATTGTTGATAAAAAATACCCGTAAAACTATAAAAAAAAAAAAAATTTATGATCTATCATGACATTCTTCCAATTTATACATTGTATTTATTTTCAATTTTTTACCTATATTGGAAATTTGAAAATTTTTCTCACCGGAGTCGATCTTTCAAATCTACAAATCAACCATTCGCCCTTGCATGGAGTATTGCTGCCATATATGGTCTGGTAACCCTTATGTTTGTCTCAAGGTTCTTGATAAGATCCAGAGACGGATATGCAATGTAATTGGCCCTGATCTGGCATCTCGTCTGCAACCGCTCTCTCACAGACGTGCTGTCGCCCCCCTCTGTCTTTTTTACAAATACTTTCATGGTAACTGCTCCGAGGAGCTGCTTTCGCTGGTTCCCAAACTTCACGAATTTAAGCGTTCTACTAGGCTGGCATCTCGCTCACACACTTTCACTGTCGAAACTGTTAAATGTAACCGTCTCTTCTACTCCCATAGCTTCATGTCTCGCACCTCTCACCTGCGGAACTCCCTCCTCTCTTCCTGTTTCTCTGATAGCTATAATCTCCAAATATTCAAATGTAATGTCAATCGACGTCTCCAGATGCCCTGGTCTATCCCCTATCCTTCTCCTCATCCTTTCCTCTATCACTCCTATTTGCTCTCACTCCAACTCTCTGTAACCCCTTGCGTACTAGTGGCTTCCCGCCTTGCTTGGGGTGAAATGCTTAAAAAAAAATTACATGGGAATCATTATTGTACATAATTAAGTTAAAATAAAATTTGTATTTTAGATGAATACTAACTTATGAAAATTGAGATGTAGAGTGGGGTGAGCGTGTTATAGATTCGGTGGGGGCCCACGAAACCCTAGCAGCGACCCTGTAAACGAGCAATATTTACATATTCCCAAACCAAGTAAATTCATATTAACTCAATTATAAGTGACCAATATTTACCTATCCCCAAAACAACTAAATACTTACAGACTGAAATATAAATGACCAATATTTACCTATCCTCGAACTAAGTAAATGTTTATAGAATCAAGTAAAAACGACCATATTTACTTATTCTTGGAGCATGTAAAGACCGTCCTGGGTATGACGATAAACTACGTCCAACAGTAAGGCCTCTGATCAGGAGGTTTTCAGGAGAGTGGAACCACGTCTTAATTGCTGGTGTTCCCAGATCCACCCTCACCCGGGGTGGTAGCACCTGTTAGGGCCCCAGCTATGGAGAAATAGATAACCCCCAAACTGGGGTCAAAACACTATGAAAGTGTAAAAACAGGTTTTAATACCAGAAATACTTTGCGTGTATATTATATATATATATATATATATATATATATATGTATGTATGTATGTATCTATGTATGGCCAGCAAAAAAAATATTACCAGCTATACATTTTAAAAAAAAAATATTACCAAAAATAAAACTTGTCGGCATTAAATAACCCATTGTGGTTGATATGCCGTAAAACAAACCAAATAGTTTTACGTCTGATGATGAAAAAAATAGCAAGTAAATGCTTAGAGACATAATATATATATATATATATATATATATATATATATATATATATATATATAATACGAAATTGATTTCAATATTAAATAACCATGCATGACTTGATACTTTGCAAAATCAGCTCAAATCTAATTATGAATTAGTCAAATTCTACGAGTTAAAGTAGGTATATTTAATCGCAAAAAGAAAAAAAAGCATAGCATGATGAAAAAAGGCCCTAAAATTAATAAAAACAAAATTTTATCATGAAGAAGTTTCTGTCTATATTTATGAGATGAGGTATTATGTGCACTATTTACATTATTCGAACTATTGATCTCATCTTTGTTGCCATATTTTTCACAACGTTTCGGCCGTTGTACGCTCCGGCCTTCTTCAGGTGGTTGGAATGTCGAACTGAACCCTTTGTTTCGCTCGCTGTGGTAGACTGTTCTAGTTCCACGTGACATGTCTAATGGATGTCAGTTATCTCCTGTTAATTGCCCTCTGAAAGTTCTTCACTGCCTTAACTCACAACTCTTTGGGTCCTGTCACTGGATCTAACCAACGCCCTTTAACCACTGCACCATGTGTTCTTAAGATATTGAACTCACAACAACATGGCAGAGTGGATTAAATCGATTTATGAACCATATTTCTATGTTTGATTTGATTATCTTGCCTTTAATAAGGCGCACAAAAGGAAAGTTTTGTACAAGCTTTTTTGTAAAAGTAGTATTCTATTGTTTTTATGTTAATGTAAGTCAAAAATTATACGCACGTTCGCCATAACATATCTTTATATAAGCGTGCGGATAATTTTTAACTTTCATTCGTAATGCATGTTTTTTTTTTCGAATTTCATATCGGAGTTTCGACTCTTGTTTGTTCTCGTATGGTAGTTGGTGTAAGAGAGATGACGTTCCCGTAAAAAATATTTTTAATTATTCCATCATCAGTAATTACGGATTTCTCCCCAGACTTTCCAAGGTTTCTGAAGTTTTATTAACAACAAAAAAATAAGAAAAAATATTTTAATAAGCGATAATATATAAAACACCTTGCCTAAAATTTAGGACTAAAACCTCCCTCTCTCGATGGATAGGTAAATAAACATTGCAAAATATTGCATAAATTAAAATATTAATAGATGTATTAATATATATCTGTGAAAAAAGTAAATGCTTATAGATTATATATAAAATACCAATATTTACGTATCCATAAACCAAGTGAATAAATATCGACTTGAGTATAAAAGACAAATATTTACTCGTGCTTAACCAAGTAAATGCTAATAGACTCAAATATAAAAGACGATAATTTACCTAACCCCTAACCAGATATATGCTAATAGACTCAACTATTTAACTCTTTCCAAAACAAGTAAATAATTATAGACTCAAATATAAACAACCGATATTTAGCTATTCTACGAACTAAATAAATGATTTTGGACTCAAATATAAACAACAATTATTCCCACTCAATAGACTATAGAATAATTTGAAACATAACTATTACCGGCGACCCAATAACTGTTAGGATAATACAATAGACCTTGCTACCCATAATGCACCATTGACCAGCATATATAAATAGCGGAGCCAAAACAAGAACTGAAGATTGCGTTCAAGCATGAAATGATTTTCGCCGTTTGGTGTTAACATCAGTGTCCACTTTTATATTTACATATACACTATCTCTTATATAGAGTACTTTTACCCATAAATACAGCATACCTTAAAACTATTTTATATATATATATATATATATATATATATATATATAATCGGTTTGTTGATGAAGGAAACTGACGCGTCCGAAAATTACGGACTTAAAAACCTTTCTTTCCG